GGTGGACTAACGCATCCTTGGCGGGGCGCGCCGAGGTTGTGCGCTGGCTGGCATTGACCTCGCGTCATCGAGACAGCGAGCTCTCAGCCTGCTGCGCCACTGCACGCTCGAGTAGCGTGCGGATCTCGCGGTGGGTCTGACGATCCTCGGGCGTCGCGGACTCTAGAAGGCCATGGAGCAAGGCCGTTGTGGCGGCGATGTTCTAGCTCACTCGGGCGTAGCGAGGAAGGGCTTCATCGTCGGTGATGACCTTCGGTTTACATCACGAGCCCTGGCGCGTGCGCGCCCATCATCTCCGCGGCGCTTGATCTCCCGATTGAGCTCCGCGTACTCCTGCACAAGCTAGATTTTGGCTTCCTCGATCTCTCGCTTTCGGGCTTTCAGCTGCTCCACCCCCATGCGAGGTAGGACCACTATGTCCTCCTCGGTTTTGTCGCCAAGGTTGCCCATCGGGGTAGCCTCCTCCGCGGAGATGCTTTCGAAATGTCCCTCGGGGGTACCCGTCATAAAGCATTCCCGGGAGAGGTGATGGCTCCCACTGCTGGAGTCATAGCTAGAGGACGACCCTGGCCCCTCTGTGAGGAGGTTGTGGAGGGATTCCGTGACGTGTTCGATTACCCCCACGAACTCGTTGTTCACGGGCGGCAGAACCGTGCGTCGTGGCACAAGGTGGCTTATGGTCACCGTAGCATTGCGGAGACCTAACGGAAGCGATGTCGAGGCGCTCTGTATGTGGTGTTCTGGAGAGAGGGACCCTCCTCCGGAAAACCGCGCCGTGTCATTGGTGTCGGAAAGGGTGAGGTGACGCTGGTCCTCCCTGGACTGCTGGGATCCGAGGGAGACGCCGAGCTGGCGCCCAAGCCTCTCGTGGTTGAGGCCGATGGAGGGGAGAGATTGGATGGCGGCGTGAGCCAATGTCAACTCTCCTCCCACCGTGATGATAAAGTCTAGGCTCCCGAAGCGCACGTGTGCGCCTAGGACCAAGTTGATGCCGTGGTTAGCCATCCATGGCCTGATGTGGAATGCGCAAAGGTCCCCTACCTGGCGCGCCAACTGTCGGTGTTTCGAATAAGCACCAACTAGTAAATTTATATTTGTTGTGCGTTAGGCTCGGATGGTGTACTAAAGGACACAAGGTTTATACTGGTTCAGGCAGAATGTCCCTACGTCCAGTTTGCCGCTGCTCGTGTTATTAGCACTGAAAAAGGTTCGTAGTAGGGGGTACAAACGGTCGAGAGAGGAACATGTCCCAAGTCTCTGATGGAAAGGTCCAAAGGATGCCAAGAGCTCGGTTGCTGCTTGGCTATGTGTTGTGTGTGAAAATCGATCCGTCCCCTTAGTGGGGTGTCCTGCCCTCCCTTTTATAGACAAAGGGAGAGCAGCAGTTACAGATGGGGGAAAGAGGAAGAAACCAAAGGTAGAGAAGGTCCTTCGAAGGTGCCAGGTCTTCCTTTTCCCTTGAGCCTGCCCTTCTGACATGGCAGACCATGCCAGGGATAACACGCTCGCTGATCCTGATAGGGCCGTGCTCTGGTTTTGTTTCAGCAAGTGGTCACGTCCCATCCTACTCTGACGGACTGTGCGGCGTGCTAGGGTGCCGAGCCATGACTCTACGGGGAGCAGACGGGGAAGTGACTATACGTCCGTTACTGTAGATAATGCGAGTTCTCTCCTGGATTGTAGTGGTTGTAATATGCTTATGTTAGGATCCGCGTCCGAGGGCTGATGGCAGCGCCCACAACACTGTAAGACAAAAGTCGGCGCCTACAACACTGTTCGGGCTCTGTCATGCCTGGAAGGGCTTAAAGCGCCCGTCCGTCGTATCCTGACAGTACTTTCCTGTAGGTGGGCAGGGCATGGTTCTCGGTGCTGCGGTTGACTCGAATGTCCTGTCTCATCCTGTGCTCGTCTTTATGAAGGAGCATGGCGCAGTCGTCGGGCAAGGCGGAGCCTGCCCCGGGACGTCGGGCGAGGCGGAGCCAGCCCTCAGCTGTCGGGCGAGGCGGAGCTAGCCCTCAGCCGTCGGGCGAGGCGAAGCCAACCCTTTGGGGTTGGGCGAGGCGCGGCCAACCTTCGGTTGTATGGGCAAGAAGTGTAGTCGCGTTCTTGCTTGTTCAGAAGCATCAACGTTTGATAGTTATTGGCTCTACCTTATTGGGTACCCTAGTATTAGGTCCCCGACAGGACTTCACCGTGCCGCCGCAGATGCGCTCCACCACGACCGTACGATAAGCTATATTACGGCTGGCCGTAGTTTAGCTGCTCCCATCGTTTTGATATGAAAAAATGTCCTTCATGAAACACAAAAAAAATATCCTATAGATTGACGTATGCACTAGCGCCGGACGTCTGGCGCTAGCAGCGTGTCCAGACGCAACTCCGACACTGAACCGTGGCCTGGCATCACGACCCACCAATAGAACTGTCTTATCTCAGTATCCCGCGTAATCGAAAAACTGAAGGGACCGGCTGGCGTCACGGCCAACCAATAGGACTGTCTCATCTCAGCATCCCGCGTAACAGAAAAACTGAAGGGACCGAAGCGCTACCTTTCGCGTAACAGAAGAGAAGAGCGTGCGCTCACGTCCGCGCCACCATCCCGCGGTGCATCCCCGCTGCACCCTTCCACAGTCTGAGAAGGATGCAAGGTAGCAGAAGGTGAGGAGGAGACACCAAGGCGAGGCGGCAGAAGACGTGGAGGAAGATATAACACTCGATCTGCTTTTGAAACATTCAGATACAACACTTGCAACATACATATGAAAACAGATGAAACGCTTAAAACTGGGGCTTGCAAAAAACACAAGAAACACTTGAAAAACATTGCAACACATACGCAACATCCAGAGAAACACACTTGCAACATATGTGTGAAACATATGCAACATCCAGAGAAAACACACTTATAGCATTGGGAACAAACGTTTGCCCATACGTGTACAACCATTGCAACATATGCAACATCCCAATCTACTTTTGCAACATCCTTACGAAATACTTGCAACATACTCTGAAACATCTGAAACACTTGAAACATATGCTTGCAACATGCTTTTCAGTGCAAATGTCACCTTGCTGCTTGGACGAATGGAGCTCATCGTTGTAGAGCTCGACGCTAGCACGGAGGTCGGTGGAGGCGCACGGAGCTCGCCGATGCGCTAGCGAGAGTGGCGAGCACTGCGCGACCAGGGCGAGCACCTGCTCGGTGGCCTGGGCAAGCACCGCCTGCGCGAGGCCGCGAGCACCCCTGGTGAGCACAATGGCAGGGCAAGCACCTGCGGCTGGCGTGGCGTGGATTGGGAGGAAGACCGCGTTATTGGGAGGAAGGCGCCGTGGCGGGGGATGGGGGCGCCCCCACGGCTCATGGTGGCAAGGGCGGAGGACGGCGCGGTGAAGCCACACGCTATCGAATGCGTTTTTTTAGAAAAGATCGCCAGGCAGTGATGGAGGGGCAACCTGTTGCCTTGTTGACGGACACGCCCGGATGGACGCCCTCACCATAGCATTAACGATAGACTAAAGATGCAAACTGAGACTACCTCAGTTGGTTAGGTTCCTTACGATGGAACATGTCCACCCAGGTTTAAGTTCTCGACTTGACACGGGTGTTCACATTTTCCTGACTTTATTGTAGGATTTAACGACGTTATGTTTTCAGTGGTAGTCGACATTTCCGTCGACAGCGAGACGTCTGTGGTGTCTTCATCAATCTCGAGATGTGCCGGCACAGTCTTTCGGAGGTGCTCATAGGGTAAGGTTTGCGTACGTGTATTCATGCGTTTGTACTTGTGTAATTCGTAAAAAAAAAAGCGAGACTAAAGATGGGTGGTACTGTGGTCTATATCTTTGTGGAAGAACCACCCTGTAAGCGCATCCCGCACCCTAGAAAAAAGAGAGTAAGTTACGCCACGATTTCTAAACTATCTTAAATCATTCGTACCTAGGTCTCCGAACTACAAACACCATGTTCGCTTGTTGGTTTCAGTCAGGCTTATTCAACCAACTAACAGTATTTTTCTCTCACAAAAAACCAGCATCAACCAGCCCAAATCAGCCCAGATACCAACCAACGAACAGGCCAAAAATCTATATATCTAGAGCCTTTTTGTGACAGAATCTCAAAAATAAAAAAGTGCCTTTTGTGACAGAATGTTGAGAAACGTCTTATGTTGTAACCTCCTTTGTATCAGATAAACTGAGACTGGCAACATATTACATATGCATCCTTATTTTTTGAACACCCTCATGCTTGAGTTCATACGGAATCATTCCTCTGATCTATTGTCCTAATCTTATTTATTTTACTATATTTCGTTTTTAATGTTGGAGCTCTACATTGTTCTGATCAACCACAATACCTTCGTAACACATACAACCTTTTTCGAATACTTTAGGCCGTGTTTAGATCCACAGAACTAACAACTAGTTACTAATTTTTAGTCCCTAAGTATCCAAACAGGCGGAGTAATTATTAATTTACTAGTCATGGACTAATTATTAGTTCACTAGTCCACTTAGACTAGTTGTTTATCCTAGTCCATCTAAACGGGTCTTTAAAGAAATCCTCTTTGACACGTCCTTCTACAAACACAACAAACGTACTGTTGCGGAAGAATATAATAATTAGGAGTGCTATCCTTTTAAAAAAAATAAAATAAAATAAAAACCGAAGAAGTGCTATCAGCATGCTAAAAGAAATGCACCAGTAAAACATTTCCAGACGAACGGTAATAGCAAAAGTATACAATAAGTCAATACAACAACCGTCTGATAGTCTGATAAAAGAAGTGTTACATTGCTATCGAAATTTGAAAATCTTTCAGAATTTTCTTTAGAAATTTGCAGCACAAATCCATAAAAATAGATAACTAAAATTCACATGTGTGCTAATCATCACATCTCACATGCCAGATTGATTCCATTCAAACAACATCGGTCCAAAGTCTCTTGACCATATCTGCTGTTGAGATGATGGTCTAAAGTGCTATTCTACCACATGCTTAACTTAGAAAATTGCCTTTTGAAGACAGGAGACGCAAAGCCTTACTGGCATTCTTCAAAACTGCATTTGATCTTGGAACCCGATTTCTCCTTTGCTCCAAGAAATCAAGGGCATTCTTCACGTGTTGCGTTGACCGGACATCTTTCAGCAGAATAGTTTCAGGCCTGATAAACACAGCGACCACTGGCATAAGCATCATTTCAGAAACTTTATATTTGACGACAGGAACATTAAACATACCCATCAGTTTTCATTCTCTTCTTCCTTTTCTGAACCTTCTGCTTTACATTTTCTTCCTCAGAATCTGATGCGAAAGTTTGCCTGAGAGTGCGAGATGAAGACAAAGTAACCAATGAAGTTGAAGTCAAAAACAAAGATTTTAATAAAAATTGATTGAGCAAGAGAAGTGCACATACTTCTCACGAGCTGCTAGAATTTCAATTACACTAGTGGGGAGCATTCCAGGCATTGTATTTGTCTCCTCATTCTCCTCACTTTGTTTGGTATCTTCATCTTCTACTTCCTTGGGCGCCTTCTTATCTGGTTTAGAGGATGCTCTTCGTTGGGCCCAACGTTTCCTCCGCTCCTTTCCTTCCCGTGTTGCTCTGCAAGGACACATCCCACATGCCCATATGACATAATTATCTCCGCGATACAAAAAACAGATAATAAAAAAAGTCATAGCACCTTGATGACCTCAAGAAAACAAGATTCAGATAGGTAATCCATATGAGTTACACAAAAAGGTTACCCACAAATCAATAACAGTTATACCATTGGATTGGATGGCCAAGGAACGCACCATGAGTAATACACAAAACTATATAAACATCTAAAACAAAGAAACTGTAAACGTTAAAAGCTCTACATTTAGGCATAAACATTACTAACAAATATGTACAAGGAGTTACTTTTCCCTGATTATTGAGCATCTCAACTACATTAGGTTACCGTCCAAAACAAAATTTGTAATGGCACTTGCATCTACTGAAACCAAGAGAACCACTAAGGAATCTAGCATAGTCCACGAAGACAAGCAGAACTAGTCTCCATAGCAAGCATCAAGTGGCATCTACTCGCGTACAGTCTACAGAAACAAGAACAGATCAAAGTAGCACATTGGGCAGCAGAAGGTCCATCCAGTCATCAGCTGTAAAGTAAGCATAAGAAACACACCTGATAGCACTGTCCTTCTCAACTTTACTGATCTCTTCGTGCTTCTCAACACCCTAAAAGACAATAACAAGGCACAGCACTCAGTATTTTCTACATATATCAACATGGAGCTTGAAGTGTGAAGAACAAACAGGATGACCGGCAAGGCTAGCTAACAACCCTAATCCAACCAAAAAAAAAAAGTACTCGACCAACCAAATCGACGGCACAGAGCTGTATAATCCTCTTACGGGACTATCTGCGCATATATCCATCGTCTGCTTGAGCGGAATACACAAGCAAATCGTAACTCTCGGGTCCTCGAGGGGAGAGGACTAGACGTACCTGGACGGCGGTGAGCTCCTCTGGGGCGCCGTCGGAATCGCTTCCGCTGTCCATTTGAGCCGGCTCCTGTCTCTTTTCCCTCTTTTCTTTCACCGGATGAGAGCGCCGGGAGCTTCCGCTGGCGGTACACGCCGCCGCCGCCGGGAGGGTTTCAAGCTTTTGGGACAGAGTGGAAGAGAGGAGACCGAAGGTATATGTGCTGGGCCTGGGCTTTGCTAATCTTGTCGGCTCTGAGCACATGCAGATTTGGGCCTATTCTATGCGGCTCGACTGAAAGCCACCTTCGGCCTTTGACATGACACACAGTGGAAGAGAGGAGACCGAAGTCCAGCTCTCCATCCGCCGGACACCGGTAACCCTCACGCCGGCACGCCGCGCCGGAGCGCCATGATCCACCTCCGGAAGCGCATTATCTCCCTCCTCACCCGGACACGAACCCGCGGCCCTTGCCCCCACATCTCCCCTCTCTTCTATCCCCACCGCCTCCTCTCCGCCACCAAATGCGTCGCTGCAACCCCGTTCGCCGTCGAGGACTACCTCGTCGCCACATGCGGCCTCACCCGAGCCCAGGCCCTGAAGGCGTCGAAGAGTGTCTCCCATCTGAAGGACGCCTCGAGGCCCGACGCGGTCGTCGCCTTCCTCTCCAATCTCGGCCTCTCCAGCGCCGAGGTCACCGCCGCCGTCACCAGAGACCCCAAAGTCCTCTGCTCCGACGTGGAGAGAACCCTCATCTCCCGCGTCGCCAAGCTCACCGACCTCGGGCTGTCACGTCCAGAGATCATCCGCCTCCTCATCGTTGGCATGAACCACTTCCGCCACGGCTCGCTTCGCCTCAATCTTGAGTTTTGGATCTCGGTCTTTGGCTCCCTCGACGAGCTCATGCAGGCGCTATTTAATAGTCCATTTCCATTGGATCATGTATAAGACGAAGTAATGACGACGTATGTGTATTTTTAATGTGGTCATACTTATATGGATTGAGATGAACGTGCGTGTATGAAATGCATATATCCGTGTCATATTTTTGTTTGGTTTGCATAAAAAAACAAAGAAAACTTTATCGAATTTTTCTGCATAAATTTGTATTACTTCGTATAAAATCTTCACTAACGATGGCGTACGTGATGGCGTACGTGATGTGCAGGTTGAATCGTCAGAAGAACAAAAGAATTAGGAGAAGCACCAGCACTACCACATTGAATAGTGGGAGCTGTTTGACGCCAACGTGGACGAGAGCAACGAGCCGCATGTGAACCATCAGTACAAGCGCTACCGCTTGATACCAAGGTGCGACACGTTGCAGGCTGAGGCTACAATGGATAGAAGATGACTATGCCAACATCGAGTCATTCGACGACGAAAACACGGCGTACGACCAAACTACTCGTGTAGGAAGACATGTGGAGGCAGGACCAATCTTAGACAGAGTGGTAAGTCAATTGCCTTATTTTTCTATGTTCAATTGCATATCAATACAATCTTACTGAGAACTTTGTTGTAGGGCAACACTCTCAAATGCTCGGTTGAAGACATTGAGCGCTTTCGTCCGAGAATCAGGGACGACAACACGCGTAACTTTCTAGACGTAAGATTGTACAAACTCTTTCAAGTATAATATTAATACATTAAATTCTTCCAGTTAACATGATTTTATAAAACAGAGACTGTCACGTCAGCTACGCCGTGCGGTTGCTCGTTGTGGTTGTAGGACAGTCATAACGCAAGACGTGCACATTCCTTTCGCAGACAGAGGAGGCTTAGGTTCGTCTAGTCAAGTACCTACAGGGCCTCTAGGCATTGCGTACGAGGACGAGAACGAGGACGAGGAGGTGGACCAAAGCCACGAGGAGCTTGGACCGTCTCAGCTACAGCACGCTCCCTCGACTCAGCCTACACAGCCTCCAGGCACTGGGCGACGCCGTCCATCTGATCCTTACACTTCAGGCACCGACGCTTTTGGTCACAATGGTAAGGGTAAGACTAGAAGACAGTGATGATTTATGGTAGATGTTATTATATACTATTATGAACTTTGTGAATTTTTATTATGAACTATTGTCAACTGTATGGACTATTATTTGTGAAAATCTTTAAAAAAAAAACAAAGGCAAAAAAAAAAAAAATCGTCTGCGTCGCTGGCCCAGCCGCCTCCCCAACTTCCTCATCGAGAGGATAGACCGACACGGATAATACAAGACACGGCCACACGGAGAGAAGAGGTCCATTTCCGCGTCGTCTCCGCCCGCAGCCCCATCCAGAACATGGCCACGCTGCCGGGGGGTAGGCCCACGCCGCCAGCGCCACGGACCCGATGCAGGTGGATCTGCCGCTCCCCGCCGCCGCGGACCCGATGCTGGTCGACCAGCCGCTCCCCGCTGCCGCAGCCGCAGCACACGCCCCCGCCGACGCCAAGGTGGGCGGTTTTTTTTTCCTGTCCTTCGCCTGCCCTGACGCCGTTGAGCTTCGCCTTGGGTAGCCGTGGCGTGCGGGGCTGTCGCTCGTCCCTAGATGCGCTGCTCCGAGTCAAGTTGGCCCTGATGGCGAGCCAAAGTCGCGCCGTCGCCGTCGTTGCCGCACTCCACACATGCCACGATTTCTATATCGGGCATAGCACTGCTTTGGTGAGCTGCTCTTTTCTACTCCCGATGGATGTGCGCTCTTTTCTACTCCCGATGAATGTGCTTGTATGGATGATGGATTGTTGATTACAACCTGTTCGGGTGGCTGGTTTGTATCGTTGCTGTTTCGTGAAGAAGTACTTCTGACTTTGTGTGAGAGAAAAATACTGTTCTGGCTGGAAATTTACGATCATTTATGGCTGATGAATGTGCTTGTATGGATGATGGATTGTTTATGGATTCTGAATCTAGGGTCAGGGATGCCCATTGGATACTGGTTAATGCCGTGGCTGCCGTGACATCGCCGGCACTCCTCTCAGGCCACAGCCTGGAATGCCCCTAGCGCAGCGTCCACTTGCTCTGCCCTCCGCCCAGGGACACGGGGCCATGCGACGTCGGCCAAGCGCTGCCCCTGTCCCTGCCCCCGAAAGCCAGGTCTGGTGCATCCTCCGCCCACTCGCTCAGCCCTTTCAAAATTTGCTAATGCTAGAGATTATAACAGTTGGGTGTAGAGTTCTATTCAGTTTTAGTCTAAGAGAGCAATACGGCCAAGAACCAGGGATAAGGATAATACCTCGATTTTAGTATGCAAATTCCCCAGAGCATGCATTTTTAGGCTTGGTGTTTTTAAGGCGTGCTTGGCCTTAATATTGTTCTGCTAAAGCATGTTATTTGAAATAATGTTGTTCCATTGAAATTGATATGGTTCCCAGCTTGCTATTTTCTCTTTGGGCGGACTTGGTGAAACCAATTTTTTCTGGTACGAAGTCTTTCTGTATATAGAAACCTATAACGGAGGCAGCAGAGGCTGCACAAGGCTATATAATTGGTGAAATGCAGAACCATATAAATTGGCTTTACTAAGCTTTTAGTAGATATACAAGGTAGTTCAGAAATTATATATTGGCTTCACAAAGTCTTTCTATTAGCTCTGGTATAGAAGCTTCCAATTTTCGAGGGATTATTTCTCAAGCTTTTGACAGTAGTAGACATACCAAACTAGTATGTACTCACAATCCATCTTAATCTGATGTTTTCTGCAGCTGTTTAGCAAGCTAATCTGTGAGAGAGTACGATTCTAGTAGTAGATGAATTTTGGCTATCACCTTGAGTCTACCTTCGGCTAACGAAGAAGCAGAAGGTACAGCCCCTGCTCTCTCTTTGCAGAAGGTACGCATGTAATCTTGATCTTGTCTCTGTATTGTTTGTTCGATGGCTGCTGGTTATGCAAAGTTTCGTACCACCGAAAAATGTGCATGTAAATTTAGTTAAGCAATTTAATATCATTAGTCCGGGAAGTTATTAGTAATCTGGTGGCAATTTTATTTGTGTCTAACACCAAAAATGTACCTATAACCTCTACTCTTTTTACCGTCAAGCATTACTCTGTGCTCTAAGTGACTTTAACCAAGTGCAGGTGACTAGGGGAAGCCTGGGATTCCATTTTCTCGAGTTGGGAAGTGCAGATTGGGAGTGGGGTGCTGACTAATGCAGGTGACATATTGTTGTTCACATATCATTCTTTTTCCTTTTTTTCTACTGTTATAATGATCCTTTCTGTTTAATCATTGAATTAGTCTGCCTTTTGTACAAAAAGCTAGTTATTGATATCATCACCCTGCCTTTGTCTGATATGCATTTTTGCAAATAAACCGGGGGTTGGGGTGAGGCTGTGGGTTGCAAATGAACACAGAATACAAATATTGCCTAATTAGAAAGACATTGTTGCCTATTGAATGACACTTAAATTTTCCAGGAAAATTGAATCCACTACAACATTATTAGCAGCAACCTGCTCATCACCAATAGAGTCTCTAGGAACATAAGCATCCTTTTTTTATCTCCTTCCAGCAACAAATTTTTGACACATGTTATCTTTTTTTAACATGCAAGAATGCAGGCCATGTACAGTGAAGCAAGATGCGGACCAGTATAGAGAAGGACTAGATGTATAGTGTTATGCTTTTTGAAAAACAGCAGATGCGAATGTTTTCTTTTTCTGAGATGTGTTCTTTTTTCTGAAAACATTGTCTTTTTGTGAACGTATATATGTAGTACCTAAAAGCATAGGCCTGGGCCTTATTTGCCTTCTTTTGTGAACATATAGATGTGCAAATGTGTGGTCGGTATCTGGTCCTGGCCGCATCCCGCCAAAAAACAAACAAACGCTAATTAGTATCCTTGCCGAAAAAGGAATAGAATAATTGTACTTTTACCAAAAAAGGAAAGGAAAGGCCGTGCAATAAGCCGTAATTTAGCTGCTTCCTTTAAAAAAATCCGAACCCAATGCATACAAAAGTTACTTGCCAATTATCTTTTAGAAATATTGACTTAAAAAAGGCTACCACCAGGGCATTTTGTTGTAATTATCATATTTATGACTCGGCATACACCCAAATAATTAGGATTCAATCAAATCATGGAAACTTTTTAATAAATCCTTTCAATAAATCCGCCTAGCATGGATAGCGCACCCCCTCGGACCCTTCTGTTATTATCAGTCATTAAACTCCGTACCGTACTAATGGAATAAACCCACCGCTTTAGGTCAACAATAGATGCAAAAGGTCATGCAAATACACACACGGTGAGGTTCACGGGATGAATAGAACTTCAATCAACAAACAAGGCGTCTGTCTGTCTAACGACAAAATTCAACATGTCACCATCGGTCCAACATCAGCTGTCATGTTCTGTCCTGCTATGTGCGTAATCTGCGATGTCATGAGCAGGGTGGTTAGAACAGGTCGACGCAGCCGGAGCTTCAGGCGGCGAAACTGACGGAACCCCCGCTCGATTGCTCCATTTTTCTTTTCCTTTTTTGCAAGCAAGCACCAGAATAATACAAATCGACACATGGGCCCGTGATGGGGAGCGTCGAGCGTGCAAATCATTTTGTGATCGCTTTGCGATAGCATATTTGTGTGTGTAGCGCGCGCTAAACTAATAAATGGGGCCGACAAGAGCTCTTTGTCCTATTGTTAATTATTGCTGATTGCTGATTGCTGATAGTGATGCCGAAGGCTGGATTTAGTGTGGGACACTTGCTTTTTTTTTTGGCTATTCTTTTCATTACCCTTTTGCTTTGCGTGGGCAAAGGCGGATTAACAAGCAAAGGCGATATTAACTCACTATTTTACCTATGTTAGGTTTTGTTTGCTCTGCACGCTATCATGAGTTAAAAATGTCGATGTAATAATGTATAAAAAACCCGACACAAGGTAAGCTGTATTATCACTCCGGAATAAATATTATGAGTATTTGGTTAACGTAAGGAAAAGCGTCTAAACTACTCATCTCTATGGCTAGATAACCCATAAACTAACATCTAGTTCGGTTTACTTCTCCTAACGATATCAGTTTGTGCAATTTACCCCTTAACAAGTCGTCTTTTATGTTTTTCCACATACAAGTTAAAACTCAACTTTCACATAGAGAAATAAAAAGAAATAATTTTTAAGAGGTAAATTAGACCAACTAAAATAACTAATAAGATAGTAAGTTAAATTAGTTTTACGGGATTATCTAGATGTAGGACAAACTTAGAGTGTAATTTGAATATTTTCCTATTATACATAACTATACCGAAAAGAGACCAAAACACAACCCATGAATCATAGCATTATAACTTATAATTACCTCCTGTATCCCGTGAGACCACGAACAAGTCACTCATGAAAAATTCCAACGAGGTGGCTCGTTGAGACGGTCAAGAACAGCAAGCTGTTCACCAATCCATGGAGAACTCACATGAGTTTTGTTACATACGAACAGTATAATACTCAGCCAAGTCTTCCCCGGGGTATCCTTTTTCTTTTGGTCAAACGTAGCCATCGCCCAATAGGCCAACAGCAGCCAGCATTCTAAACACACCCCGCGGGGCCCGCATTCCAGTGCCAGTCCACCCCCGCGTGGCCCGCACGTCAGTGGCCATCTCGACCGCGACCCGTCACCCGCCGCGGTTACCCCGCCGATTTAGAACCGACCGTTACCGCGGCCTGTTCAAAACCAGCCAACTGCGCGCCGCCACGTGGACGGCCGCTCGGGAGGCCGCGGGTGAGCGGACCGCGCCCCGGCCCCGGCTACCTGTACCTGGCCCTGGCCTGGCTTTGCGTACGCTAGTGGGGAAGTAGTGGTGGTGCGCTCAGCCAGTCAGCCGACAGACACACAGCGCACGCCCCACGAGAAGATCCGCCCTCTCCCTCCGGTTCTCCCTCCCCTCCTCCGGTCCTCCCCGTTGCTGTCCGTCCCGCCGGCGTCGAGGCTCGAGAGAAGGCGGCGGCGGGTGAGCGCCTGGCCGCGGGACGTGTCTGTCCGGTGAGCTAGCTCTCTTGCTGACCTGGAAGCTCTGGAGGCGCTGAAAGCGGCTGGCGGGCGGGCGATGGGGTGGGCTTCCTGCTGCTGGTCGGACGGGTGAGTGGTTGCCGGCTAGCCGTGCCCGCCGATTTTTTTTCCCCTTGCAATTGAGGTCTCGGTGCGGGTTTGGGGCTATGAGTTTGGGTTGTGCTCGGTTGGGGGGATAACCGGAGAAGGGGATGGTCAAATGGTAGCAGCCTTTTTTTTTTCTTCCTCCTTATTTGGTTTGTGTGTCACTTTGTAGACTGGGATTTTGGGGGAACTGATTGTGTGCTTCACCTGAAGGGCGGGCCTGGTGCAAACGGTAGAGTCTTAGCGCATGTGATCGGAAGGTCGCGGGTTCGAGTCGCGGTCTCCTCGCATCGGACAGGCGAGGGTAAGGCTTGCCACTGACACCCTTCCCCAGACCCCGCACAGAGCGGGAGCTCTCTACACTGGGTACGCCCTTTTTTTTTATTGTGTGCTTCACCTGTGTTCAATTTCATCACACAGAGAAATTGATCTATTTGGGTGGTGTCTCCGGTGGCAATTGATTTGGTTAACGAGAAAGGATCAGAGATGTGAGATAATCTTGTGAGCTTGATGTATATTTCTGTGGGTTGGTTAGTACAGTACTTCGTTGAATGATAAATACAATGAGTAATCACGTCTTGTTTGGATCGAACGGAAGGACAAAGATTGAATATCTGAACTTCTGCATCGTTTCAAATTTCACTGTTTGCCTGTGTTTCACTGCAAATATTAGTGTTGAATTGCGGGCAGATCAGGTTGAAGAGGACATAAAGTTAACTTTAAGTAGTTTGTTCAGAATGTGCTGCGATTTGGGGAGGAGTTGGGTGAAGTGATTACCTTTGGGGGCTCCATTAGTACCTTTCCTTTTCGTACCATGCATTCTTCTAGTAACTGCTGCCCGTCACTTGATTGAATCACTGTTGGTTTGTTGTGTTCTTAGGGCTGAACCTGGTAGGAGGAAGAAGAAGGACACGACGTGGCGGATCTTCTCACTGAAGGAGCTTCAGTCGGCGACGAACAATTTCAATTATGATAACAAGCTCGGCGAGGGTGGGTTTGGCAGTGTGTATTGGGGCCAGCTCTGGGATGGGTCACAGGTGCAGTCTTTCTCTTGAACAACCAAAATAATCTGTTCTACTGTGTCCCTGTGTGCACAGCCTTTTTTGCTATAGTGTTAGCTTCTGGGGACTCGCATTTTTTTGGGGGGAACGAAAGCAACTGGCATGTTTTTGGGGTAAGAGCAGGACAGTGCCATCAATGGAACCTCCTGACGTTAATGATTGTATCTTAACTGATTCAGTCTCATCTTGGAGTGCTATTTCTAGGCCGCGTTTAGTTCATCAGCCGATTCAGCGCCGCCCAAAAAAGAGGCGTACTGTAGCTACAGTACTATTTTGTTTTTATTTGGTAATAATTGTCCAATCGTTAACTAGTTAGGCTCAAAACGTTCGTCTCGCAGAGTACAACAAAACTGTGTAATTAGTTTTTGATTTCGTCAATATTTAGTACTCCATGCATATACCACAAGTTTGATGTGACGGGGAATCTTCTTTTTGCATAGTGTCAAATTCTGGAAATAAGGGGAACTAAACATGGCCCTAGTTCTAGCAGTAATTGAAATATAAGCCCTTGTTTAGTTGGACCCCAAAATCCAAAAAGTTGCTACAGTATCTGTCACATCGAATGTTTGCGGCCCGTGCATAGAGCATTAAATGTAGACGAAAAGAAAAACTAATTGCACAGTTTGGTGGAAAATTGCGAGACGAACGTTTTAAGCCTAATTAGTCAATGTTTGGACACTATTTGCCAAATAAAAACGAAGGTGCTACAGTAGCCCCAAAATCTAAATTTCGCGAACTAAACAAGGGCTAAAATGGTAGTTTTCAGAGCTGTCCTTCAGCCAATCACAGAGTCCTGGCAAATACGACCACATCAGCTAATTGTTTTTACTCTATGGTAAACCTATGCTCGTATAAGTTTGCATTGTTCATGCTATACCTATATATATTGTGGCTAGATAAAAAGTAGGGTTCTTGACACATGGGCATGCTATGTTGCAACAATCTGCCTTTTTTATAAGCAACAATCTGCCTAAATTGGTGTATCATAAGGTAAATATTTTTCTTTTCTGTGGGATTTTGAGCTACGTGCTCCTTGTGGGTTCATTGATATGCTTTTGCTGCACACTTTTTGAGTGTTTCAATACCAGTTTCTTAAGGGACCCCGTATGTTTCATTTACTCTTTACTCCATGAATGGGATTTCATATCCTCTGGAACTTACCACTTCACTCTTTAATGACACAAACAGATTGCCGTGAAGAGGCTCAAGAGTTGGAGCAACAAAGCTGAAAAAGAATTTGCTGTCGAGGTGGAGATTTTGGCACGAGTGAGGCACAAGAGCCTTTTAAGCTTGCGCGGATATTGTGCTGAAGGCCAGGAACGCTTGATAGTCTATGATTATATGCAAAACCTGAGCATACACTCTCAACTTCATGGACAGCACGCAGCAGAGTGCAATCTCAGTTGGGAAAGAAGAATAAAGATCGCCGTTGATTCTGCAGAAGGGATCGCGTAAGCCACACAACATCATTGTTCATGTTTATCCTCAGAACATCATTCATGCTTACCAAACTTCAGCAATCTTATTATTTAAAATTCTTTCATCTTGTAGTTATCTGCATCACTATGCGACGCCGCATATCATTCATAGAGACGTCAAGGCGAGCAATGTTCTCCTGGATTCGAATTTCCAAGCTCGGGTTGCTGACTTTGGGTTTGCCAAGCTAATTCCAGATGGTGCAACGCATGTCACCACAAAGGTGAAAGGCACACTCGGTTATCTCGCACCAGAGTATGCAATGCTTGGGAAGGCCTCTGAAAGCTGCGATGTCTTCAGTTTCGGAATTATGCTCCTAGAGCTTGCCAGCGGGAAGAAGCCAGTTGAGAAGCTTAACCCCACCACGAAGAAAACCATAACTGAGTGGGCTCTTCCTCTAGCTCGTGACAAAAGGTTCAAGGAAATTGCTGATCCAAAGCTCAAGGATAGCTTCGTCGAGGATGAGCTGAAGCGAATGGTGCTTGTTGGGCTCGCCTGTTCTCAGGACAAACCAGAGCAGAGACCCATAATGTCTGAAGTCGTTGAGCTGCTCAAGGGAGAATCTACTGAGAAGCTTTCCAACCTGGAGAACGATGATCTGTTCAAGCCTGATAGCTCATTTCAGAGCTCATCCGGACCTGATAGCTCAGATTGCGTCACCGAGGAGAGGAGTCCCAAAGCTGATGCGATAGAGGCAGTTGATTCAAGTGAGACAGTTCCCTCAGCAAGGTAGTGTGATGCATAGTGGTATTGTCAGTAGGTGCGCTGAGCTCCCTGCCTGGGACAAATGTGTTTATCAGTGTATTTTTGTGGTTATTCCTTGCTATTAGCAAGTTAATTTGGGAGCTTCCTTGCCTAGTTCTCCTATGTGCTGTCATCTCTTCGTGTTGGCATGGTTCTATTGGCTTGTAAAATTCTGTAAATCTGGGCCTGATTCCATCTGTAGCAAGCTGTTCACTGCACTGCTGTTAGCGTTTAGCTACTTCAGTCCATTAATGATTTGTGTGCAAGTCCATAATATGTCATTTTTTTAGGTTTTCGTCATGTATAATTATCACTACTTTCACATGAATTTATTGTTAGGCGCTTCTTCCGCAACGATCGTCACAAAAAATGCAAGACTGAGATTTCTTCAGGCACGAGCACTGCAATGAAGTTTGCAAACAAAACAGTCCCCAGGGCTGGCTAGTAGCCGGCTCCTGCTGAAATGACCACCCGTCAATCATGCTAGTCCACCCGCCTTACCCTTTCCCAGGGAAGGCTCAGAAGCTGTAAGAACGCATGCTAGTGCTCAAGGAACAACTAAACAAGACCGATCGAGCCACACCCGACATGATCATATGAGAATATCAGTGCCCATAAGGCCATAACCAGGTGGGTAGTGCAGTGGCATCTGCATACGGGTTGATGTGGTTCACCACAGACCTGAGATAATTCTTAGCGGAAATGGTGTGATGCAAAAGAGGAGGTACAAGGTGCACTTCCAGTACAGTTACTATGCTAATATAATTAACTAAAATGTTAGTCATCTTCAGTATTAGAAAACAGCAACAAGACAAAGAAACAGTTCAAATGTGGTAAACAAAAGCAGCGTAAAGCACACTCACTTAGCATCCATATAGCAGTGGTGAATAAGTTAGTACAATACAACTAGTTGCGATATCTCTAATTTAGACATACGTTGGTAAAAAACTGCAGAGCAGTGTGACATTAGCATGTAGTGTCTAATTTAATTGTTTATTTACTGTGTCTGAGTTCTAAACTCAAAGGTACAGAAAAGGATCGTTGCAATTAAAATCAAACGCTAATCTGTGATTCCAAACGCTGCCTCCTCCCTCACCAAGCTGGGAAAACTTGTACCCCACTTTCTTGCTTCCGCTTGCCCATCTTGCATTGTCCAATGCCATCATCTTCGAGGCCAGCTCTTCTGGTTTATAGGGTTTTCGAAATTCCAGCACAATATTCATCTTCTCCAATACCTGGGCGTTTTCGGCAATAAACATAAGGAAAGCAAATTCACTTTCATCCCCATGGAAGTCACGAAACGCCATCGTCTTGAGACGTGACTGGACACACTTGATGGGCCCAGCCTCCTGCCAGAACTTGAGACTTAGGTTGCTGGTGGGCTCTTTTGTTTGTTCTGACTGCAATATATATATATATATATATATATATATATATATATATATATATATATATATATATATATGTATGTATGCAACAATAATGGTGATATTGTTGGGGATGATAAAATAACTGAGTATGTGACACAATATTAAGCCATCATCCCCTCCCCCTGCCCCTGATCATATGCCTATTGAATTTTTATCAACACTGTTGGGATTTCATTAGAGATGACATACATTCAATGTTCATGGAGTTTAAAGGGTGTACCCAGCGCAGGGAGCTCCCGCTCTGTGCGGGGTTTGGGGAAGGATGTCAGTGGCAAGCCTTACCCTCACCTGTGCAATGCGAGGAGACCGCGACTCGAACCCGGGAACCGGTCACAGGCGGTAAGACTCTACCACTTGCACTTCATGAAAAAAATAATTAAATTGGACATTGGGAGAGTAAACTACAGGGTAATTACCCTACTTCCTGAAATCAAGAATGTGAACAAAATCCAACAATACAGACCTATACGTCTGCTCAATGTCATTTACAAAATCTTCACCAAAACCCTTACGCTTAGGTTGGAGAAAGTCATGAACAAACCTATCGATAAATTACAAACAGGGTTTATCAAAGAAAGAAACATTATGGATGGAGTGATGGTCCATGAAATCCTACATGATACAAAAAACAGAAAAAGAGAGGGTCCTGTGCTTAAATTGGATTTCGAAAAAGCGTATGATAAAATTAACTGGGACTTCTTTCTTGTCTGAGGCAAAGGGGTTTTTCACAATCATTGGTGTGACTGGATTGCAATGGTCATGACCTAGATATACTTATGGCTCATACTTTACTACTGGGAAAGGGGTGAGACAAGGAGACCGTCTTCACCCTTTTTGTTCAATACTGCAGTGGATACCCTTGCAAAAATGATCATGCACAGGAAAACAAGCTTTTGACAGGCCTAGTGCCAGGATATGTGAATAATGGTGTTGTAATTCTGCAATACACAGACGACACAATTTTGTGCATGCAAGATAGCAAAGAACAAGCAACTAATCTCAAGTTCCTGTTGTATCTGTATGAATCCATGTCTGGTCTTAAAATTATTTTTTCTAAAAGTGAAGCAATAATGATTAGCCAAGATGCTAATAAACCTATGGAATACGTAGACACTTTTAGCTGCATTGATTGGAAAATGGTCTATAAGATACCTTGGGGTCCCTGTGTCTGGATCTAGGCTTCACATAGCTAATTGGTCCCTCTTGATGAGAAAATGTTAAAAAGACTGGATGGGTGACAAGGTAGTTCACTGTCCATTGGTGGGAGAACCTCTCTTTTGGATTCTAACTTAAGTAACAAGCTCACCTTATGATATGTCTATATACCTCCTACCCTTAACTACTATTGACAAGTTGGACAAAACCAGGAAAAAGTTCTTTTGGCAAGGTGATGGGATGAGAAGGAAATACCACCTAGTAAAGTGGGAGATCATAACTAAGCACAAAGATAAAGGGGGTTTAGGGATAAAAGACTTAAGGAAAATGAACATTAGTCTTCTTTGCATATGGTGGTGGAAACTTGAAAATGAAGATGGTTTATGGCAGGAGATTGCAAGGAAGAAATACTTGAAATGTAAATGTTTACAACAACTCAACAAGTTGCTTACAAGGCTAATAATTCCCCTGTGGAATGATATGATCGAAGTCAAACATATTTACTTGATGGGAAGGTCTATGAAGGTGGGAAATGATCATATGATTGATTTCTGGCGAGATATTTTGTGTGCAAATGTCTCACTGAAAGACAAGTTTCCTGGTCTATATGATATCTGTACTACACAAAATTCCCCAGTGAATGAACTTTGCTGTAAAAACTGGAGGTTGGATTTTCGAAGGTGGTTAAGGCCTGCAGGACCAGCTTAGACGCCTACGTGATATTATCTTCAGATACAAAGTGAATGAAGCAAAAGATGTAGCAAGTTGGAACTGGGAGAAAACAGGGAATTTTAGTGTCAAATCTATGTCCAAGCACTTATGTTGCAAATAGTTATGGTCCAAACAATAAACAGATCTGGAAGGCCAAGTTGCCTCTAAAAATAAAAATCTTCATACGGCTGACTTTACAAAACGCAATTCGGACAAAGGATAACCTCATAATAAAAAGAAAATGGAAAGGTGATGATTCTGGTGCCTTTTGCACTGAGGAAGAATCTGTTGTGTGTTGTGCATCTTTTCCTTGAGTGCCTTGTTACCAAATATGTGTGGAGTACACTGGCCTTTATTTTTTGGGATATCTGTCAGACCTTCCTCTTTCAACCAATATTGGAGGTGGGTGAAATGGGTCCTCCCACAAGGGAAACAGGTTCACATGGTTGGTTTGGCTGCAGTTTGCTAGGCCATTTGGAGAACAAGAAACTTGTTTGATTTGTTCTATGCTGATATATTGGGCAAGGCTTCAGAAGCAAGAGATCGTGACTCGGATGGAATATTGGGCGGCAGCTCTGAAGTCGGTGGCTTTACAGTTTCACCAACAAGTCCAGCAGGAGGGAGATGAATCGCAGGCAATCATCAAGATTGGAATGATTTAGTAGTTTGCTGGAAAGGAAGACGCCGCTGGCCTGCGTGCCGTAGCAGCCCTCTCTGGCTTGTAATAGGTCGAACTGGGTTTATTGGTAGCTTATGTTCTGTGTGTCTGGACCTTGGTTTTCTTTCTAGGGTGGCGTAGGCGCCGGCGGTTTTGGTTGGTCCATTGGCTGAGCCCTTTGTGCTCGGTCTGGAGGGCAATGTGAGGTTTTTGGGTCTTGAACATGTCAGATGGCATGAAACTCTGTAATTTCGTTACTATCCACAATGAATTTTGGTTCATCCGTGTTGGAAAAAAGGAAAAAAAATATATGCAACAATAACGTAGTGCTACAAAGTGGAGAATGAATAAGTGATAACGATGAAAATGCCAAATGAAAAATGGGTCAAGTTTACCTGGATACAGAGCGTCTCGACGTTGGGAAAGCACTTGAGGAAGCTTGGCAGCATCTTCACTTCATCGTGAACTCCGAAATGCAGATGGAGCATCAACATCTGCACGCTTGGAACTGTGGTTTTGGGACTCGGCTTTGTTCCCGGCTGCAGTGAACAAAACAACAGATTCAAACACCGTCATGTTAGGCACCAATCAGTAGATATTGTATGTCAACTATTGACACAAAGAAAGAAGGGAAATTAGGACCTTGATGACAGTGTTGCCAATCTCCAGCACGTGTACACCAGGCTCCAAATAACCCAATGTGCTCAACTGCGGCGCGTGGCCAATCTTAACTCTGTAACGCTGGCTAGGGCACCTCCAGATAAAGCAGCGCTCAAGGGATTGGCAATCCACTATCGCCATTTCTTCAAGACAAGGACTAAGCAGAACTGTGCGCATCGTAGGCTATGGCTGGTAAGACAGGCGTGCAACTTTTCCACGCTTCCAACAATGGTGAGGACCTCAAGCACGGGGCTAGCGGCGAGCAGGAAGTTGAGGTCGCGGTCCTCCAGCGCGATGGCACCGAGGACTAGCTCCTGAAGCCTCGGGAAGGAGGCACCGCGCGGGAGGGTGGCGGTATCGACGAACCTCCAAGCGCCGAGGTACAGGCGGCGGAGGGAGGCGCAGCTGAAGAGCGCGGCAGGGAGGCGCAGGCCGGCGTAGGGCGAGGGGCGGTTAACGAAGGCGAGCTCCTCGACGCCCTTGGTGGCAAGGAACTGGAACCAGCGAGCGAGCACGGCGCGGTCCGCATCGACGGCTTTGATGAACTGGCAGGAGAGGCTGACGAAAGGGAACGGCCCGGGGTGCGCGCGGAGAGCGGCGGAGACGGCGCGCGTGACGGCGCCGGGTCGCGGGGGCCGGCCCTCCGCGCCCCCGTGGGGGAGGAAATCGGTGTCGGCGAGGACGAGCGGCGCCGAGAGCCAGAGTCCGCGCCAGCGCGTGGAGAGCACGGAGGTGCGGGCCCCGTCCTTGGCGGGGAGGCGGACGAGGATGCGGCTGAGGAGGTCGTCGGGGAGGCCGCTGATGCGATCGATTCCTCCGTCTTCCTCGGCGGCGGCGGCGGCGCAGGAGAGAATGGGGGTGGCGGAGACAGGCGGTTTAGGGAGGTAGGCGTAGATGAACCCGAGCACGGTGTTCTGGTAGAGGGACAGCGTGCCCGGATCCAGCCCGTGTCGCATCGCCGCCGGCGTTGTGTCGTCCGTGCTGCCAGAGCTGCCCGGCGGCGGCCAGCACCAGTGGGCGGGGATGGGAATCGCCATGCCGGCGCCGCCGCAAGGTGTTCGGGCGCACGGCCGCACGGGCGAGGGTTCGCCGGCCGAGGATTTTACCTGTATACCCTTAAAAAAAATGCCACGCTCCTACGTATCCCTCAAAAGTTGGTCATCACCTGTATGTCCTCGCTCGAACTTTTCTTTTCCCTCACGTCATTCCGTCGACATTTGCTCCTAACGGTAGGTAATGGCTCTGGAGAATGACTCAGTTGTCCTTGGATTTGTATGGACGTGGCGCCAGAGACGCCGCTGTTGACGCCAAAGGGCGAAATTTGTGCCAAAGAAAAACCTGCCCTTCTCCTCCTATATATTGACGCCAAAGACCAGGGAGTTGCCACCGATCGACATAAGCCCAGAAGACGGAGGAAGAGAGTACCTCGGCGGAGTCCCATAGGTCCGTCAGCGCCCGCAGCGTTACTGCTTCATGGCGAGGAGGCGAGACACCGCCGAGAGGCCCCACGCGGCGCGCGCGGTGTCTGGAGCCAAGCTGAGGAGGAGGCGAGGCTCCCGCTGCGTGGGACCGTCGAGGGAGCGGCGACCGACGCCCTCCTCCGTCGGGAGGAGAGGCGCGCGCCAGCCAGCGTGGGACGAAGCCGACGGGGTTGCACGCGTGGGGAGTGATCAGCGTCTTGCGGGGAGTGAAATCGCCGCCGCCATGGAGAGATGTGGCCCCGTCGCTGGAGTGCCGACGACGACGCGTCTTGAGTCGAAGCTTGGTCGAGTCTCTGGGCCAGCGTCGAGTGTGGTGAGCCACGCCACCTGGGATCAGGAGTCAGCCATCCGGGGGACGGCGAGAGAGCGACGGAGCGAGCTAGTGGCTCTGGAGTCTGGTGCTGTGGCGGGAGGAGGCAGCGCAGTGGTGCCGCTTTGCGCGGGTTTTTCGAGTAGGTCTTGTGTGGCTGCGGATCGATGGTTTTATTTGGGCGAACCGATGAGCGAAAGTGGATGACGACGTGAATCAGACAAACGCGGCCCACTAAAATCTTTGAGCAATAATCTTTGAGGTATGATAATCTGATGGATCAACTAATTTCTTAAACTAAATGCCTCATTTGTGCTCTAGGGCTATGGAGGTGGGTTCGGCGTGACTAGAGCTGTGGCTGTGGACTCATTGGCGAGGATTCCACCGGGGAGGCAGGGACAAGAGGAGGTGGAGGCGCAAGCATGAGAATAAGCAAGACGGCGTGCTTGAACCGGTCGGGCCGAGCGAGCGGACAATGCATGCACGGAGAGCAGGCAAGTAGGAAGAGGAACCAGATCCACCAGATTTTGATCGTACGGGTGACGGATCAATATAATCAAACATAAAAAAAATGTGGAGCTCGTAGATCAGCATCATCCTAATTTAATTATATCTCTGTTAGCTTAGTTAAGACTCAATATATAGGATACTTTAGTCTTGTGTTCTCAAGGCAACATCCACGGTAAACTAATGTACGTATGGAGAAGCACGAAGGCACATTGAGAGATGTTTTCCTTATTGCAAGTACCTAGGGAGATGTCTCCCTAGCCCTCGGTCGTCTAATGCTACTAAACCTAACCCAACTACGGTGACTGTGATATGAGCGAGGCTTTACGCTACCCCTTGTAGTAGATAGAGATCGTAACATGTCGAGTACTTTCAGACCAACTGTATAGCTGGTGGATTCGGATTATCTCATTATCCTTTTGCGTCGGCTGGTGCGCGAAACGCACCGCACGGTGTCATGCTAGCTGCACGTGCCGCTCCCTTGGATCCCATGGATGGGCCACATCTCTCCATGGCGGCGGCGATTTCGCTCCCGCGCACGCCGCTGATCACTCCCCACGCGTGCAACCCCCGTCGGCTTGTCCACGTGCCGGCGGCGTGCGCCTCTCCCCCGCGCGGAGGAGGGCGCGTCGGTCGCCGCTCCCTGACGGTCCCCGCTGCAGCGGGAGCCTCGGCCTCCTCCCCCGGCTTGGCTCCAGACACCGGCGCGCCCGTGTGGGACGCTCTCGGCGGCGTCTCCGTCCTCGCCGCGGGAACAAGCAACGCTGTGGCGCTGACGGACCTGTGGGACTCCGCCGAGGTACTCTCTTCCTCCGTCTTCTGGGCTTATGCCGATCAGTGGCAACTCCCTGGCCTTTGGCGCCAATATATAGGAGGAGAAGGGCAAGTTCTTTGGCGTCAAATCTCTGTCCTTTGGCGCCAACAGCGGCGTCTCTGGCGCCAAAGCCAATTGGCCTGGTAATGGCACAGGGGAAACGAAAAAGTTCGGACGCCCATACAAGCCCAAGGGCAACTGAGTCATTCTCCAGAGTCGTTACCCATTGTTAGGAGCAAATGCCGACGGAATGGCGTGAGGGAAAAGAAAAGTTCGAGCGAGGGCATGTAGGTGACGACTAACTTTTGAGGGATACGCAGGAGTGTGGTATCTTTTTTAAAGATACACAGGTAAAAGCCTCTCGGTGGCCGCTGCCCGCTTCCGCACTGCTCTGCAGAGGAGGATGTGATGGGCTAATGGCCCGATCCATTCATTGGCTGTGCCGGAGCTGAACACAAGCAGGCTGGACCCGAAGCCCAAAAGTCCTTCCAGATGATTTCCTGCCGTGAAACTGGAAAGCCCATCCATATCGAGAGACCTCCGAGTCTGCAGTTCTACATGCTACCCGTCCACATTCAATTATTTTGCTGCATGAAATGTTATGATAATTTCGAGTTAGAAGACGCCGCACAGTAGCACGCATGATGTTCTAAAGTTGTTGGGGACCCTTGTGTCTTTTGAAATATGTATTGGACATAAATAAAAGATCGATTTGAAAAATAAAAGGCCGTGTGAGAAGTCAAACTCGCCAAAAGTTGTGTGGCGAAGTTTGACAAACAACCTAAGAATACCTGCTACTAAAATTATGTTTGAATACTTAGTTTGTATCTGATTCTGATGTTTTCTCAGCTCACTTGATAGGAAATAATAGCAGTGGCTTTAATTTTATTTGAGTGAAAGTAAACATTTGATGAATGACTGTTGTGTTCTTAATCCTTTTTTTTTATGAAGGTAAACCTAGTGTTTATATATAGAAAATATAACATTAATCATAGAGTTTAAACGCAGACCACACACACTTGCTGGGTTGCCAGCTGACAAGGTCCAGTTCAAAAACTTGTGCTACTCTCAAACAACTGAGGAAAAGAACTACTCGAAGAAACAAAGCTAGAAGAGACACTCAGATTAAGCCTTTCCACTGCTACAACTGAAATCATTTTTAGAGGCGGGTAAACTGGGTTTTCAGGAGCGGTTTGCGCAACCGCTACAATGCCACCGATTGTAAAGATGGGGCACTCTAGCAATGGGCTTTTAACTGTCCCTAAAATCTATTTCTAGGGGCGATTCTATTAGGATCTCCGCATCTAAAAATGTATTTTCAGGGGCGGTTTCATTAGGAGAACCACCTCTGAAAATGTATTTTCAGGGCGGTTGCAATAGGCAAACCGCCTCTAAAACTTCTTTTTCACAGGCGGTTCCAATACATAAACCACCTCTGAAAATGCATTACTAGGGGCGGCTGCTGCAATGAAACCGTCTGTAAGGTTGAGATGGCGGACTAGAGGGGGGTGAATAGTCATTTCTAAAATTAAACGTGTCGGCTAACCGAGATACATGCGGAATTAAAACTAACGGTCTAGCCAAGACTACACCCCTCTATCTAAGTTCACAAGCACCTTATAAAGATCATAATTATGCAACAAAGGTGCCGGGCTAGCTAGAGTTCACATATCCAATTCTAGGTGCAAGGTCACACAAACCTATGCCACTAGTATTTTGCACATCGAGGAGCTCCTACACAATTCTAGTAAGCAAAAGCACAAAGCTCCTAAGCTCACTAGCAATGCTCAATAACAAGGCAACCAATGCCAAATTAGAGAGCGCAAATACTTAGCTGTATAAACTAAGCAATGTGACTAACAAGGTTACACAAACCAAATTAGCAACGCAAGAGAGCTATTTCTATGCTACACAAGCAAGAAGGTAACTAGTGAGCTACACAAGCTAACTAATTACAAGAGTAACTACACAAGCACAATGTATATAAAAATAATTACAAGCTTGTGTAACGAAGATGCAAACCAATGGGAATACAAGGATGACAAGATCAATTTTATCCCAAGGTTCACATGCTTGCCAACACGCTAGTCCCCGTTCAGACAAGCTCCGAGGTTGCCGTCGGTCCTCTTGCTAGTGGTGATCCACAAGTTACACTCTTCCACATGGAGTGCTTATCACAAGCTCTAGCACTTGACCCAACCAGACCACTTGTCGCCCTTCGCGTCTCGCTTTACTAGAGTTGTTCTTCGTGGCTCCCGCGGGGCAAGCACAATGCCCGTCACAAAGCTCTTCTCCATAGCACCGCACAAGCTTCTTGCGGGCTTCGACGGAGACCACCACCAAGCCATTTAGAAGGTGGCAACCTCCAAGAGTAACAAGCACCACCGCCTTGCAAGACGATCACCTAGTGCCACTCAATGCAACCTCACGATGCAATCGCACTAGAATCGCTCACTCACTCGATCAGATGAACACTATCAAGCTCAAGTGAATTAGAGGGCTCCCAAGCACACCTACACAAGCCACAAAGGCTCAAGGGTGCTCAGCTCAGCTCAGCTCATGGCCAAAGGCCGACCAACACTTCTATTTATAGCCCCACGGGCTAAAATAGCTGTTACCCCTTCACTGGACATTTTTCGGGGCGACCGAACGCGTCGGTCGGATCGACCGGACGTACCCTGCCAGCGTCCGGTCAACGGATGGCTGCCACGTCATCCCTGGCTTCAAATGCTGAGCGCCTGATCTCAACGGTTAAGTTGCGACCGGACACGCACCGCGAGGATGACCAGACGCTGCTACACCTAAGTCCGGTTATTTCCAGTAAGGTTCTAGAGAGGCATTTACGCGATCGGACGCGTCCGCTCCTGCATGACCGGACGTAGACCAGCCAGAGTCCAGTCATTTCCAGAGAGCTCTCCGAGCCTC